CAACTCATGAGGCTGAGGCAGGAGGATCACAAGTTTGAGGCCAGCCTGGGCAACTTAGCAAGACCTGTCTTAAAGCAAAATAAAAAAAGAGCTGGGGGCATAGCTCGGTGACAGAGCACCCCTGGGTTCAACCTCCAGTACCAAAAATGAATAAATGAGAATATGAAAGCTCAGAAGAAGGAGTCTAAATGTGTACTCTCACACAGATGACCAGGGGGTACTGATGCTAAATAATTTTCCTAAAAACATAACCAAGCAATATGTGCCACCAGCCTTCACAGTTATATCAATCCTATCCGTGGTCAATCTCTTAGGAACTGGCTTATCATTTATTTCCTAATAGATAATGTGACTTCACTTTGGGCTGGCCAAGACAAAGTTCAAAGACTTATATGTGGCTCACCCTTGTACCAGCATGCAGTCTTTTTTTTCCTTTTTAGTACTAGGGATTGAACCCAGAGGTGTTTTACTACTGAGCTGTATCCCCAGTCTTTTTTTTTTTTTTTAACTTTGAGAAGGGGTATCACCAAGTCACTGAAGGTCTCTAGGATTACAGGCATGCACCACCCTCAGCATGCTCTATTTAATGTGAGTCTGGGGTTTAATCTTTTATCAAATAACTGTATTTTGATTTTAATCTACTTATCCCATTTTTTTCCCCTTATATCTCATCACGAATGCTGTGAAATGTCTGTGAAAAGAGGCAGAATATAAATAAGTAAAATAGGATAAGAACAGAGAAAAGACTCCCAAACCTCAAAGATCAATTGTGTCATCAATATTTTACAAAATAGAGAATAACTGTATTTGGCAAACGGCGAGTGAGACTGCTTCGTGTTACAAAGTGGGGCACCATCCAGTTCCAAGGGAGTCGCCTCTGACCTTTTCAGGGTGCATCAGTTGAGCTGGAAGCCCTTTCTTTTTCCTTTTCCTTTTGTGGTGGGACTGTCTCCAAGCCAGAATAGAAGTCAAGAGCTCAGCCAAGACTCATCTTCTGAAGCCCCATCTACTTCTCCTTCTGGGAATTCTCACCAGGTGACTCACGCAAGGGCTTTTCCTGTCCTGATGTCTGAGATTCTTTTGAGTCCAGACAGGACTCAGAATGACTGGACTGATGTCTTTCAGCTAATTGAACAAAAGCGTGTCCAAATGTCCTGGGCTGAAATGCATCTGGCTTATCAAGGAAGGCACACAAAAGACACCTGAGTGAGTGGAAGCCAGGGTTGTGCCATAAACACAACCAAAGCAAGGGAAGAGGTGAGTTGTTTTAACACATCAAGCCCCAAAGCATGAACATCTTAAAAAAGAAAAGACAGAGAATGCTCTTCACTTTGAACGCTTACTTATGTTAGGGGGAAAAAAATGGGGTCCCTACGAGGCTGAGGAGGCCCAGGGCAGGATCAAACCCACTTTGCCATTTAAACCAGTTCAATCCTGGGCAAGTAACTAACTTATCCTTACTATATTTCAATTTCATGACCTATAAAATGGGCTGTTAAGAACTATTTCTCAGGATTGCTGGTAGGATTAAGTGAGGTAAAATATGTAAAGCACTATTACAGTGAGAGAGCTATAATATATATATATACACACATATATACATATGTACATATATATATATAATATCACCTTTATATATACTTACACATATAAATTCAAATATATATGTATCGCCTTCATATTCTTACATATATTATATATTTATGTATGATTTTCTGTTATGTGAAGTATTAGTGTCCCAATCTATAAAATGATACTTACCTATTGAATGAAATTCAAATAAGATAAATGATGCTGAAAATAAAGGATGCATAATAGGAGGCCAGAACAATTATGATTGTGAAGACAGCAGTTAACACAACCATAAATTATGCTAAGCTACTTCAGACAGTATGAGTCACCTCTAATGGAACAAGTGATTTTTAAAAGCAGGAGACAGCTGCTGAATTAACAGGCAGTTTGGTCTGGCGCTCCTGAACCAGCAGCTGCCTTGCAGGGCATTTTGGATGAGATGTTACAAAACGTGAAGTTCTCCCCTAAGGAACTGACATCCCTCCACTCCTGGAAGAGGCTGTCACTAATTTAGGGATGAAAGTCCCTTACACCAAAGAGGATGCCACAGCAGGAAGCTGACCTCCCTGGTTGGCTCAAGTTCAAGAAAACCTCACCTGGCTCCACCCTACACCCCCAATCCCCAACCACAGAGATTTCCCCTCCTTTCTCCACTTTGCTGTGACATCTAGCTGACCACACAGAGTCATGATAGAACTTTCACCACGGATGTCCCTGGACTAGGTCACACACCCACTTAAAACATCAGGAAACAAACAGGTGGCCGGACTCAGGACAATGTGCTGCTCAAAGGTTGCACCTACCTTTCTCTGACAAAGATTTTGATTCCTCCTTTCTGACGGATAACTGAGTCATTCTGTCTCAAGAGACACACTGACCACTTTGACATGAGGAGTCCAAAGTGTAAAATATCCACTAGCAATGACAACCCGAGCCCAACCACGGCCTCCCATCAAGTCTGAAGGCCTCCAGGCCCCTTGGGGGCAGTGTTTCCACCCTCAGTGGGGAAAATAGACACCAGTGAACCGACCACACACTTGACAAGATGTTGCTGGGTTATTAAAGGTATCTATAGCATCTGCCCCACTTCAACACTATGAAATTTTGGAAAAAAAAAAAAGTGTGTGTGTGTATGTGTGTGTGTGTATGTGTGTGTGTATGTGTGTGCACGCCAGAAAAATAAACAAAATTCAAGCATCAAGGGTTTTTCCATGGGTTTGCAGATCTTAAAGATAGAAGAAAGGCTCGCTGCTTCTTCTATCTCTTACCCCAAACTCAGTTCTCTGGCAGACCCAGAAGGGGGCTTCAGAAGGGGTGAGGGGCATCTGGACCAAAGTCCCCTCCATGACCTGCTAAGATGCATGTGCTGTCGCAGATTCTTTGGTCATACTTTTAGAATTCAAAAGCTATAGCTCGTGGCCAGGCAAGAAGCAGGGATGAGGGAAGGAAGGAGTGGCCTGTAGTTTTAGAGATAAAAGGATAAAAGAGGAAGAATGTGGGTACAAATGATCAGAAGTGTCCAACTGAGGGGTCCCGTAGATGGAGAGGCTTCACAACAGGGTTTCTGCATTTGGTCTTTGAGAATTCTTTGTTGAGTTGGCATATGCTTTAAAAATGTAAGCCTACACTGAGAATGGGAGACATTTGAGGAAAAACAGAAGGATCCAGCAACCCTGGGCTCATGTCTCCTGGCAGCCACAGGTGGAGCTTCTGCTCCCTAGTGCCCCCAGGTGGCCATGGGGTGAATGACTCACACAGAGGACCACCCTCCACAACCCTCAGCCCTGCCCCAGAAGGACAGTTTTTCTTCTCTTGTCCCCAGAGCACTTTAATTTATGTCCTTGATCAAGTCCACTCTACTTGTTCTACAAAGGAGAAAAAGCCCAGAGTGGGAAGTCATTTGTAGTTTACATAGCATCTCCTGTACACCCAGTTAAGTCTAATCTTCTTCTGGGGGCATAATCTTGAGTCGGGGAACCCACTAAAGCTTCCTCTGCCAGCTAAGCAAACTTGGACCCTAGAATTAGTTGATGGTTGACTCCTTTGCCTTCTGGGACTAGTCACTGTGTTTTTCTGCACAAATAGCAGCTTGTAACTGCTCCCGCATGGCAGGCCTGAGCTCAGTGCGCTCCGGGCACCTTCACAAGGCACATTACTAACTCCCTTTGACAGAGCAGGATGGTAAGGCTCAGGACAAGGGGACACAGATATGACCTAACTGCATCTGATGGCAGACCTGCCGGACTCCAAAGCCTGTGCATCTGTAGTGTGCCTTGTCGCCTCATCACTACCCACAATCCCCAAGTTAAACAGCAACCAGAACTCAGACAGGCGGATGGCATCACCTGCAATCTCAGCCACTAAGGAGGCTGAGCAGAAGCATGGCAAGTTTGAGGCCAGCCTGGGCAACCTAGTAAGACCCAGTCTCAAAGTGAAAATAAAAGGAATTGGGGATGTGGCTCAGTGACAGAGTACTTACCTAGCATACAAGAGACCCTGGGTTCCATCCCCTACAAAAACATCAGAACTCAATGGGTTCTGAATGAACTTAAATGACAGGTCCACCCCTTTCCTGGACCTGCCATAGGGTTTGTGCATGGCAGCAGCCCCATTGCCCTAGAAGTTCCCTCTAGGAAGACACTTGCCTTGCCTGTTTGGCCTCTGCATTGGAGGCTAGCAGCGGACTACTGCCTGGAGTTGTCAGTCAACAGCTTCTAATTCTAGAGTTTGATCAAATTTTACTAAAGTGCCTCTTTTTTGTTGTTTGTTTTTTAGTTCTTGCAATCTGTGTTCATTTTTATTTTTTAAAATGCCTCTTAGGAGGATGTGTTCCGTACCCACTGTGAGTTCTTAGAAAGGCCCTTTATTCTGGGCTCATCACTTTTCCCTTCTAGTTTTATTGAACTGTGGGGAGGTAGACATCAAAGTGCATGAAATCACTTGGTTGGTTTTGTTTCTACAAACAAAACAAGTTGCTCTTAGATTTGCTTTCTCCAAATTAGACAACAAAATTCTACTCTAAAGGGTCAAGAAGAAATAAAAAATATAAAGAACATTTGGGCAAGCTAAGTGCAGTGGTGCGCACCTGTAATACCAGCTGCTCGGGAGGCTGGGGTAGGAGGAACGCACATTCAAGGCCAGCTGGAACAACTTAGAAAGATGCTGTCTCAAAAAATAAAAGGGGCTCGAGATGTAGTTCAGTGGTGAGTGTCTCTGGGTTTGGTCTTCAGTACTGGGGGGAGGGGATAAAGGTCATATATGCAAAGTACTTGAATAACGAAAGCAGACGGTTATCTTAGAAGTCACAGTGATTAGTAAGTAATAATACTACTTATGGATGAGGGATATAGCTCAGGAGTAGAGTGGTTGCCCAACATTCATGAGACTCTGGGTTCCATTTCCAGAATACTACCACAAATAGTACTTACAACCCATATCATGACCAGTCTTCTGGATAAGTAAGGATCAATATTCCAGTGTGTGAACGGAAGAAACGTGATGTAGAACACTTCTTGACCCAAAGCAGCCGAAAATCGGAAGAGGTAATAGTAGAAGTAGTTCTTCACGATGTACTTCTGTACATAAGCCTAGAAGAGAGAAGTTGGAAGAGTGTGAGTTCATGTCACCATCAGCCGGCCTTGATCTCCAAGGTGCTGCTCCTCTCTGGTCATGTCATGGTGGTGTCCTTGGTGTCTGCATTGCCATCAAACACCTGTGGATCCCAGTTTGTCCACACAAACATACAAGACATTAGTTCTTCATCAACCTACGTGAGTGACATCAAAGACAGAAGGAGAAGACTCAGAAAAGCGGTGGAAGAAGGAGGCAGAAATGACAGTGTCGAGAGCCATTTGAAGATAGAACACTGCTGGTGTTATGAATGGAGGAAGGGGTCTTGGGTCAAGGAGTGCATGTGGTCCCTCAAAGCTTCAAAAAGCAAAGAAACAGACTCTCCCCTTGGGACTGACCAAGGGAAGCAGCCCCGATTTCACCTCGATTTTAGCCAAATAAATCCATTTTATGCTTCTGACTTCCAGAACTTGAAAGAGAATAAATTCGTGTTGTTTTATTCACTAAGTTGGTGGCAACTTGTTACAGCAGCAATACATATCTAAGACACAGGCTGGAGAAAAATCACTTGCTTCTGAACTTTAGTTCACCTTTTAAATGGGACTAAAAGAGACAACCCAGCCCAGCAATGTTGTGAGAAACACAGCCACACACGGGGTCTGCTGACACACACTCATTTCTATTGTATCTTCCTTCCCTCTTGCCCTGTTAAGGGTGGGGGTGGGTGGGAAGACTTGGAGTTGAAACAGGAATAAGCAATCTATTTAAAACTGGTGAAGACTTTTAGAAGATAGCTATGTGATCCGAAGAGTAGAATTTTAGTGTAACTGAGAGCCGACATACACAGCCAGGTACTTCGTAAAAACCAAATCAAAGTGAAATCCAACACTGGAAGTGGGGAGAGAAAAAGAGACAGCGCTGCGGCAGGCGACTTGGGAAAGACCTTGTGGGTCTGGATTTTTAGCACCTGTGCTGGGTGCTAAGAATGTTCAGAACGGACAGGGACAATCCAAGTTCTTATCTGGTGTGGGGCCTCTATACTATGAGGCAATAAAAATTGAGGAGACCAATATTGTGTTTGAGCCCTTGAAAAATGCCAACAGTACTATTATATTTGAGAGATGAAGAAAGACGACCTTGGCTAGGCGTGGTGGTGCACATCTGGAATCCCAGGTACTCTGGAGGCTGAGGCAGGAGGATTACAAATTCCAGGCCAGCCTGGGAAACTTAGTAACCCTGACTTAAATAAAAAGAGGCTAGGGAAGTAGCTGAGTGGTAGAGAGACTCCAGGTTCAATCCCAGTGCTGGGGAAAAAAAAAATGCCCCTGGAAATTGCCAGGATATGACTGTTCTCAATCCTACTGGCTGCCTACCAAGTCTGCATTCCTCTCCTTTTTCTCCCTAAGAGGTTCCTGACTGTATTCCAGCTTCTCTGTCTCCCCTACAGAGAGCCCTGAGGTGCAGGGGAAGGTCCACACTGCCCTGTGCTCCAGAAATGGATCTGGATTCCTCTAAACCTGTCATGGTGCATTTGAGAATTTCAGCCTCCAGCCAAGTAGCAGGCTCACCTCCCCCCCACCCCCACCCCCCGCCCGGCCCCCAACAGTTACCTGTCAGTGTGAGCACAAGTTATAAGGGGGCGGGGGTGTGTGTCTCTCATTGGGAACAAAATGCACTTTGAAATGAGTTCAGATTAGAGATAATAGCAATAGATCAACCCTAAATAGGGATAATAATGCACAAATTGAATCCAACAAAGAAGTGCTAAAATACGGCTGCAATTGCAAAACAAGAACCAGGGATTGTAACAAATACATAGTGACAAATGCCTCTCTCCCTCTAGAGGGTCCTGTTTTATAAACATACACCCAACTGGCCTGACCTTGACAAAACCTGCCAAGAGCCCCTTTTTACATAGAGGTTACATATTTTATCCCCCAGCTACCAAGAAACCTGGTAATCTGTCCTGCATTGAAGATTTACAAGGAAAAATTTTGCCAAATTCTAACAAGGGTCAAATCCTTCCTCAGTGTCATTTCATGGTATCTAAGTGTTATGTGACATCATAAAAGCTCAATGACAATAATTTCCCTCCTCTAGAGATGATTGAGACCAAGTTCAGCAGCTGCTTTACTCTCTCATATTACTAATTAGTATCTTTAGACATGATTTTTTATAATCTCTCAGGGATTCTCTTTCTGAGATTTTAATATATGTATGTGTGTGTGTGTATTATTTGTATTTCCTTAATTGCTAAAGATGTTAAACTTTTTTCATGTATTTGTTGGCCATTTGTATATGTGTGTGTGTGTGTGTGTGTGTGTATACACATACATATATATGTATATGCGTATCTATAGAGAGAGATAGAATGTACATATTTATATTCTAGTCCAGGGGTTGGTTCAAATTTATTTATTCTCATATTTTATTGGGGCATTATAATTGCACACAGTGGAGGAACTCACTGTTCTGTATTTGCACATGTACATAATACAACAATATAATTTAGTCAATAATGTTTCCCAGTATTTACCTTTCCCAACCCCGACCCTCCCAATGGTTACTTTCCTCTCCTCTGCTGATCTCTCTTCAATTTTCATGAGACCCCTGTTCCCCACAACTTTCTTTTCCCTTTTCTTCTCTGTCTTCCTTACATGACAAAAAACATATGCCTCCTGATTTTCTGAGTTTGGCTTATTTCACTTAATGCAAGTTTCTCAGCTTCCAACTATTTTCCTGCAAATGACATAACTTTATTCTTCTTTATGGCTGAATAAAACTCGATTGTACACACACCCCCTTTTCTGTATCCATTCATCCATTGACAGACACCTACACTGATTTTATAGTTTGGCTATGGTGAATTGTGCTGCTATAAACATGATGCATGCATCACTGGAGTATGATGACCAACCCTTTAGGGTAAACACTGAGGGAGTGGTATAGCTGGGTCATCTGGTGCTTCCATTCCTAGTCTTTTAGGAACCTACATACTGATTTCCACAGTGGCTGTACTAATTTACAATCCCACCAACAATGGGATTGTAAATTAGTACATCCTCCCGAATTTATTATTGTTTGTATTTTTGATGGCTCCATTCTAACCAGAGAGAGATGAAATCTCTGTGTAGTTTTTGATTTGTATTTCCTTTTTTTTTTTTTTTGGATTCCAATTTAATTTATTTTTTAAATACAAATAAACCTTAGTTATCTGAGATACCTCCATATCATATTAGAAAAAGTCAACTCTGCTCTGTGTTACTGTGTATGTATTTCCTTAATTGCTAAACATATTGAACATTTTTTAATGTATTTGCTGGCCATTTGTATCTCTTCTTTTGAGAATTGTGTGTTTAGTTCATTTATTCATTTATTAATTGAATCATTTGGTGTTAAACGTTTTGTGTTCTTTTTGATTTCTGAATATTAATCCTCTGTTACATGAGTAGCTTAGCGTAGATTTTCTTCTATTCTACGGGTTCTATCTTCACAGGGAATTAGTATTTTTAAGACTTAAATATTCTCTAAATCTTCTTAGGGACAGAGAAGTCAAGGTGAAATTTAAAATAGCGCATGTGCCCAATGTGGTAGTGCATGCCTGTAATCCCAGCGACTCAGGAGAATGAGTCAGTAGGATCCCAAGTTCAAGACCAGCCTCAGCAACTTAGTAAGGCCCTGTCTCAAAACAAAAAACCAAAGGATGTGGCTGAGTTGGTTCAGTCCCTGGTACTGAAAAAATTAAAAATAAAGAATATGAGCTTGTATACAGGGCACTCAAAAGATTTCTTAATAATTTCTCTCTATACATTATTAAAGAGCTTGAGGGCCAAAATTTACCACCAAATTCTTAGGGGTTATATGTACCTGAGTAAAGCAAGTACTTGCCTTTTCAGACAAAGAATGCTGAGTTTTCTTTGTAGGAAATCTCATTTTATAGAACTTCAGTGTAGCTTAGGACATAAAAGTGATCTCATTTATGGAGCATGTGTTGGTCTTGTTGAAAATAATTAGAGAAGGAAGAGTTTTGTTTGGTGCTACGATTTGGACCTGGAATGTTCCCCAAGGCTCATATGTGAAGGTTTGCTCCCCATCTGTGTCCAGAGGTGGGGCTTTGGGGACGTGATGGGTCATGAGGGCTGTGACCTCCTCAATGGATTTTCTATCGATAGGTTCATAATTTAATGGACTTTGGAAGGTGGTGGAAACTTCAGAAGATGGGAGCTCGTTGGAGGGAGCAGGTTACTGGGGCTGTATTCTGGAAGGGTGTCTCTTGTCCCTGGTCCCTTCCTCTGTCTCTGTTTCTCTCTCTGTGTTTTCTGGCTGCAGGGGGTAAGCAGCTTTGATCAGCTACCCCCTGTTGTCATGATGCTGTGCTTCATCACAGGCCCAGCTGGCCGTGGAACCAGCTGACCATGATTGAAGCCTCTGAAACCACGAGCCAAAATAAATCTTTCCTTGTTTAAGTTGATTTCTTCAGGTATTTTGTCACAGTGATTGAAACTGACCAACCCACAGGGGTCAGAAGTGGAAATGATGAGTGAAGTGGAGTGGTGGAGAGGAGAGGGGTAACAGTGGAGAGAAAGGAATCCCAGCTGGCCATGCACAAGAGGTTGATGGCTGAGGTTCTGAGGTGATAGGTGATAAGAACAGAGGCTCAGGTGATAAGAACAAGCAGCTAATCTTTTAGACAGCAAAATAGGAAAACAACATCATTTAGTGGGCGGGGGAAGGGAATCCCCTCTTAGAAATAAAATGCTTTGAGCTGGGTGCAGTGGGACACACTTGTAGTCCCGGCTACTCAGGAGGCTGAGGCAGGAGGTTCACAAGTTTGAGGCCAGCCTGGGTAACTTGGCTATCCTGTTCTACCCCCTCCACAAAAAAAGTGTTGGGTATGTAGCTCATTTGTAGAGCACCCCCAGATTAATACTAAGGAACACACACACACACACACACACACACACACACACACGTGCACACAATTCAGAGGCTCATCCTTTCTGTATGACTTCTGTGC